GATGTTATCTATTTCTGGAGTTATGCATTGCAGGGTAAGCCACTTGGTTCATAATTGTTTAGATAAGTGAATTTCTGTAGCATTTTATCCTTTGTGTAATGGAGCAAAATTGATTTGAGCTGGTTCTCTCTTGGGCTTTGTATTATTTGGGGCATGAATGTAGAAGGGTTAATTAAGGAATTTTTGCATTAAGGCAGCTTTTTGTTTTCCTTATTCTGTCATGGGATGAGGGCATGCTGGAAGGGCTAACACTTGTTGTCCATCCCTAATTATCCTTGAACCAAGTAGCTCTCAAGACAATTTCAGATGACAAATCAGCCACATTACAGAGAGTCTAGAGTTGTATGTAGGCCAAACCAGGTAAGGGCAGCAGATATCCTCTCTAAAAGCCATTAGTGAACTAGATGAGTTTTTCCAGCAATCGAGATTCTTAACGGTCACCACGACTGAAATTGCTTTATATTACTTAATTGATATTACATTCTACCAGCTGGGATTTCAACCCGTGCCCCAAAAGTATTATGCTGGTGCCTCTGGATTACTAATTATGTGTAAAAACAGTTTGAACACAGTGATCAGCATAAGACAGGGAACACTGTCTTTGTTCCTTTTTAATTAGTAACCACTTAAATTTAACAAGTTGGGACTGTATCACAGAAACTTCACAGCTCCAATCCACTAGCCTTTGTGTTATTTAGTGTACTCAACCCTACAGACCGCATGTACCAGGTTCCAATTCAGGGCCCATGGTGATCTCAAATGGATAGTTGGAAGGATATCAACCCTGGTGAGATAGGGAAGTGTAAAGGCAGTTGTGGTTTGTGTTCCCAAATTATTCTCATACTTTCCTTTGGGAATTGTGTCAATGATGATATCTTTTGGATAGTTTTTCATACTTTGCAATGCTGTCAATGGTGGAACAGCCTTCCAGCAGTGGCCATTTGCACATATTCCTCCACTTCTTTTAAAAAAAACAACTTTGACATGGTACCAGTGAGTTATTTGGTGACCACGGTAGGAATGGTTTTTGGAAGCAATGGCATGGTATTTGGAGGAAAAGGAACAGTAACAAAAATATTATTTTCTGTCATCTTAATATTAATTTTGTATTTATCGTGGGTAAGAGCCTAAAACTGAGAACACTTAATCCTGAAATAGATTTCTTTTTCTAAATGAAAGCATGGGGAACAAATATTAAACATAGAATTGCAAAGCATATTGGGAGGCCATAATGCTTATACCAGCCCTCTGAAACAGTTAATTAATTAATTAAACTTACACCTTCCCCCCCCAACCTTTTCAGAATTCCTGTGTAATTTTTTGCTTTCAAGTATTTATCAAATGCTCTGACGTGTTCTACTATTGAATCGATATCACTGCCCATTCAGCACATGTAGTATAAATTCCTATCTGCATTTTTAAGAAGAAACAATTCCATCATGTTACTTCTGACTCGAGCCAGCCAACTTCCATCTGTGTTCTCAGGTTGCCCATCCTTCTGTCACTGGAATAACATTCACTGTCATTCGTGAAGAATGGCCACAATCTGTTTGATCATTTGTAAATGTGACATTGCTGTACCTTTCTTTTCATTTGTGAAACCTCATTTTTTTTTTAATCCTAATGGTTTTACTCAATATTCCTTTCTGATGGTGCTGTGAATTCCAATATCATTGTAGCTTATCTATATAATATTAACATCATGCAGAATATTGCTTGCTTTTTAGAACTGATAAAAATATGAAGTGTCAATGGCTGACACCTTTTTTTTTTATTTACCTTGAAAGGAGAAGCGTGGATTTCGAGAACAGAGAGGGTTGGCAGGTGTGAACAATCTGATCATCGAGCTCAATGACCAGGTCCTTCCTCAAACTCAGGAATCAATGAGCAGCAATATTCCAAGTGTTCTTGCTAAATGTGAGTTTACATATATATGTATTTTGTAACTTAAACATTGTTTCTAGAAAAACTAAGAATAGTTTCCAGAGACAGGAGGGCAAATATTTGACTTAATTGGGCAAAGAATTGTGGGTGGATGGAGGTATGCTTGCTGATGAAGGGATTTTTTTTTAATGCCGTAAGTTTTAATAGCCTGGAATGCATTACATGGTGGTGCGGTGGAAGCAGGTGGCACAATTAGCTTCACAAGGCAACTGAATACATTCTTATAAAAGAAAATTTTAAGGACTATCGGGAAAGAACACAAGGCATGGGATTATGAGGGGAAAGTATTTACTATGGGACTGATTTGACAGCTTTTAGAGAGCTGGCATGAGCTCACTGTGCTGATTGGTTTTTTCTAGTTTATGAATTATAGCTTCAGCACAGTGTTTTTGTAGGGCGAAGGAAGGGTCACCAGACCCGAAACATTAACTCTGTATTTTCCTTCACAGATGCTGCCAGACGTGCTGGGCTTTTCCAGCAACTTTGTTTTTGTTCCTGATTTACAGCATCCACAGTTCTTTCTGTTTTTGTGTTTGTAGGGGGAGGGGATGTAAGGGAGAAATTGTTGGACTTTGTGTTAGCTTCAATAATGAAAGTGTAATTCTAACATGGAAATTTCAGTGTTGATGTCATGCCAGGTACATAGGCAGTGCATCCCAACGACTGGCAGATCATGACAAACAGCATGTTCCCTTAGCTTTTCAGATTACTGACCATACTCAGTATGGTCAGAAACTCAGAATGTAATGTCAATTATTAGATGTGACTCTGCAATTAGATACTTGCTGAATAATCCCAAAATTGTGTTAAGCATTATGCAAACAACAAATTAGGAGCCCAATTGATAATCTATAATGTGGCTTACTTGTACTTGCTTGAAGCTACATATAGTCATATTCAGGCACCTGTACTCTGTAGGCAAAAAGAACGTGTCCCAGCATTATGCTTTTCTAATAATTTTCTTAAAAGCTCAGGAACAATATACATTTTCCAAGACAACATCTCAACCAATCAGCAGTTTTTCCTGAGCAGTAAATTGGTGCTCCCTTTAAAATTTGACATTGTTGTGTCAGTCAATATAAGTGCAAGATGAAAAGCTTCAACTGCATGTTTCATCTTGTTTCAATCAGGGACTTTTTTCCTTTTCTTTGTGGCTGATATTTAGCGTGAATTCTTTGCAAAACTTCAGGTCTAGGTGAGAGTCTGGAACACACATTCTTCTTAGCAACAATGTGTGTTTAGACACTGTTTTATAGTTCCCATCTGTGCTGGCCTTTTTCAAACGGCCTACAACTAAAAAGAGAAATCCTCCTTTACTGGCAAAGGCTAGTAGCCTCTGAATGTGTGGATGTGTGGACATGCTGTGATCCAGAACAAACCATAGTGTAACAAATGTTACTGTTAATATGCGTGGCTACTTTACAATCTTAAAGGGAACATGTAGTTCCCAACAAAGAAAAATAAAAGACAACATTGCTCAGAAATATGCAGAATGTTACCGGAGAATTTGTTCCGTGGACATTTTTCGAGTACTTCCATTCTACTGACAGACTGCAGTAAATTGGATCTGCAAACTTACGCTCGCAGGTGTGCTGAATGGCTCCACCAAATCTCCCTTGTGTTCAATAAGAATTGCCCCCTTCTTTCCCTATCCCCTCATCTCTACTTGAACATCTCTGTTGATGATGTGAATTGAAGAGAAATATATTCCACATTGGCTGACTGTTGGGAATGGACGACTCGGTGCTGTTATGCAGTCTCCAATCTTGAATTTTGTCAATAGGTTATGCCACCTGTCAAGATGGAGTCTCTGAGTTTGGGTGTTTTCCCAGGAGCAATGTGGACAGGGGTAGGCGTGTGTTGGCATGGATAGTTTGGTACCGCCAAAGAAGTAAAAATGGAGAGCAGATTTGATGGAGGTGTTCCAAGTCAAAGTGCGAAAAATAAGGCTGAAGCATTCGCAGCAATCTTCAATCAGAAGTGTTGAGTGGGTGATCCATCTTGGCCTCTTCACCATCTTCAGTGATCCCCAGCATCACAGAAACCAGTATTTAGCCAATTTGAATCACTTCACATGATATTAAGAAACTGTTGGAGGCACCGATGGTGCAAAGGCTATGGCCCTGACAACATTCCAGCAATAGTACTGAAGGCTTCTGTTCCCCTAGGCCCAGCTGTTCCAGTACAGTTACAACACACTGGCATCTACCCGACAATGTGGAAGATTGCCCAGCTATGTCCTGTATGCAAAAAGCAGGACAAATTCAACACGGCCAATTACTGCCCCATTGGTTTGCTCTGATTCATCAGTGAAGCGATGGAAGCTGTCGTCAACAGCACTATCAAGCAGCACCTTCTCAGCAATAACCTGTTCGGTGTTGTCTAGTTTGGGTTCCAGCAGAGCCACCCAGCTCCTGACCTCATTGCAGTCTTGGTCTAAACATGGACAAAAGAGCTGAATTCTGGAGGTGAGGTGAGAGTGACAGTACTTGACATCAAGGCCACATTTGATTTGAATGCGACGTTAAGAAGCCCTAACAAAACTGGAATCATCGGATATCAGGGGCCACACTCTCTATTTAGTTGGAGTCATACCTGATCTAGAGAGATGGTTATGGTTGTTGGAGGTCAGTCATCTCAGCTCCAGGACATCTCTGTAGGAGTTCCTCCAGCAGTTGAATTCTTAGGCTTGACCATCTTCAGCTGCTTCATCAGTGACCTTCCCTCCAATTAAAAAGTCAGAAGCAGGATGTTTGCTGATGATTGCTCAATATTCGGCACCACTTGTGAATCCTCAGATACACAAGCAGTCCATGTTCAAATTCAAAAAGATCTGGACGATAACCAGGCTTGGACTGACAAGTGGCAAGTAACATTCACTCCACACAAATGCCAAGCAATGACTATCTCCAATAAGACACTGCCCCTTGATATTCAATGGTGTTTCCATCACTGAATCCCTCCCTATCAATATCCTGGGGGTTACCATTGACCAGAAACTCAACTGGATTTGTCATGTGAACAGAGTGGCTACAAGAGCAGTTCAGAGGTTAGGAATAATGTGGCGAGTAACTCACCTCCTGAATCCCCAAAGCCTGTCCATCATCTACAAGGCACATGTCAGCAGTGTGATGGAATACTCCACACTTGCCTGGATATGTGCAGTTCCAACAATACTCAAGAAGCTTGACACCATCCAGGACAAAGCAGCCTGCTTGATTGGCGCTACATCCACTCCCGCCACCACCGATGCTCAGTAGCAGCAGTGTGTACTATCTACGAGATGCACTGCAGAAATTGACCAAAGATCCTTAGCCAACACCTTCCAAACTCACATTTCCATTTAGAAGGGCGAGAGCAGCAGATACATGGGAACACCACCACCTGCAAGTTTCTCTCCAAACCACTCATCATCCTGATTTAGAAATTGATCATCGTTCCTTCACTGTCACTGGGTCAGCCTCCTAGAATTCCCTCCCTAATAGCATTGTGGGTCAACCTATAGCGCAAGGATGTTTCATGAAGGCAGCTCACCACCACTTTCTCAAGGGCATCTAGGGGCATGCAGTAAATGCTGGCCAGCCAGCGTTGAGGAGTCTAAATGGAGTCGATGGGGAGAAACTGTTCCCAATGATGGAAGGTCAGGAGCAAGAAGACATAGGTTTAAGATGAGCAGCAATAAAAATATATAGTAATATGCATAGTATGTGATTAAGGTCTGGAATGTACTGCCTGAGAGTGTGGTGGAGACAGGTTCGATCATGGCTTTTGGAAGGGAATTAAATAAACTGAAGAGAAATGGTTTGCAGGCCTCCTGAACAAAGGTGGAGGAATCAGACCAGTTGGATTACTCTACGATGAGGCATGAGCTGATCTGCTTCTGTCTGTTATGAATGGGTCACAGCTGATACAACTTTCCTTTCTGTTCCAAGACTGGAGGGAGGGCTAAAGCAATAGACATTTGTAGTACGTGTTTGTAGCCCAGGGCTCTGTTTCTAAACAGTGTGTAATTGTCAGAAGAATGGGCTGTGATTAACTGGCACATAAATATTTCAACCTTTTTCAAAAAACATACTTTATTCATAAAAGTTGTAGATGTGAATTGTATGACCGCTCATGTTTTACATAATTTACCATACTGTTCCATTTATTTCAATGGTATGTGCCACCTTTCAGTGCCTCCTGCATGTACGATTGCAAGTTATATTTACAATATACATTCACATTTATTGGGAATGGGCAATAAATGCTGACCTAGCCAACAATATCTGCATTCCATAAACAAAGTTTTAAGAATTAGTCGATTTGAACCTTAAAAACCGAAAGAACTGCAGATGCTGTAAATCAGAAACAAAAACCAAAGTTGCTGGAAAAGGTCAGCACGTCTGGCAGCATCTGCAAAGAGGAATCAGTTAACATTTTGGGTCCAGTGAGGGAGGGTCACCTGTCCCGAAATGTTAACACTCATAGATGCTGCCTGACCTGCCCTGTCTGGTACATGCAATCTAAGGAATTTTGTATGGATTGCAGGCCCTTTTAGTATGAGGGCAGTGAGACAGAAAAACTGCAGATGCTGGAATCCATGGTAGACAAACAGGAGACTGGAAGAACACAGCAGGCCATGCAGCGTCAGTCAACATTTCGGGTATTACCCTTCTTCAGGACTGGATGTGGGGATCGGGGGAGCTGCAGATAAAGTGAGGCGGTGGGGGGAAGGGGTGGAAGCAGATTGGTGGTGATGGTGGTGATAGATGGACACTGGTGGTGATAAGCGGGTGCTGGTAGTCGGTATGACCTGGTTGGCCGATGGCAGGGATGAATTCAGTTGGTGGCTGGAAAGGAGGATCAGAAGGTGAAAGGGAAAGGAGGAGATGGGGCTAGGAAGGGAGCAAGGGAATGGGTGAGAAAGTTATTTGAAATTGGAGAACTCAAATGTTGAGTTCTCTGGGCTGTAGGGTGCCCAGGTGGAAAATAAGGTGTCGTTCAAATTTGCGTTCTGCGTTGTTGTGACACTGGAGGAGGCTAAGGATGGACATGTTGGAGGGGGAGTGGGACGGGGATTGGGTGGTGACCTGGAGGTTAGGTTGGCCGTTACGGGCCAGGCAGAGATGCTCGGTTTTGTAGCAACTGCTGCAAGCTTTATTGCATCCCTCAGTACATAGTCTTGGACTTTGGAATGTGTCACTCCGTCATGGAAAGCTCTTTACAGTGAATGAGCAAAGAGTTTTCTGCCAGACAAATAACCTGATTTAGAAAAGGGCTGCTTTCACCCCTGTACAATTGTAGCAACTGTTATAGAGCATGTGTTGATGCACATCAGTGTGCAAGATAATCACAATTATTACAATGCAGAAGAAGGCCCATTTAGCCTATAATGCCTGCATTAGCTCTTTAATCTGGTGCCAATCTCTTGCCTTTTTCCCATATCCCTGCATATCATTACTATCCAAACAAAAAATCCTATGTCCTCTTGACTGCCGCAATGAAACCCGCATCACCGCATTCCCGAGTGTATTCTAACAAACAACTTGCTGTGTGAAAAAGTTTTTTTTCTCACCTAATTCTTGCTATGTTTGCGCATCACTTTAAATCTATGCCCTGTCACTCTTTTCTATTATAAGCAGAAACAGCTTCACCCTATCTGCCCAGCCTAGCCTGCTCATGAGTTGAAACCCTCATTAAGACCTTCTCTCTCCAGGGAGAACAGTCCCAATTTATTAAATCGGTCCTTGTAGCTGAAGTTTTTCATACCTAGAGTCATTCTAGTAAAATGGTTCTGCACACACTCTCCAACAGATTCCCATCTTTCCTATAATGTGGTGTCCACAATTGTATGCAGTATTCCAGCTGAGATTTAACGGGTGTCTTGTACAAGTTCAACTATGTGCCTATGAGTAAAGCTGAGTACACTGACTTATTTACTGCTGTCTTCACCTGTCCTGCCAAGTTCCATGATCTGTTCACACAATCTTAAATTCTGTAGTTTTCAGTGGTTGATTTAGTTTGCTAATATAGATCTCACTCCTATTATTATCCTGAGTGCTCACTGTTCACAGGCTTTTGTGTTTGGGATTTCTTTTCAGTGGAAGCTGCAAAGCAAATTACCAACAGGATCCAGCAGAGAGAGCCAGAAGCAGATCAGGTTAGTTGTATTGTTTCATATATTCAAAAGCCAATCCTTTCCACATCCAAATGTTTTTCAGAATTATGATGTTGAACTCCATACATAGTTCGCAAGATGTATGTGCTTAATTTTCACAGTTACGTACTCTTCTTTTCCTTACTTATCGTAATTAAATTTGCATTCTGAATAAAACCCAGTGATTGTCTTCATGGTAGTGACCTGCCTGAATGTAGGTCTTCGGCTAATTTCTCCAGGATCTACAGCCTGTGCTTTTCTGTTCGGTTACTTGTAAGAGTTTCCCATTTTCAATTTCAGGAAGCAGTATGACAATAAATACAAAGAATATTGAGCTTCCTACAACCAGCTGATGAAGGAAGAGACCCAAAGTCCATGTTTAGTCTGTTTTAGACTTATACACACAAAGTAAGAATTACAAATAACCCTTTAACCCATGACCACTGTCAATAAGAGTCTCTTAATACTCTTTTGAAAGTACAATTATTTACTAAACAAATAAAATAAAGAACAATCCCTTAAACAAATACAAATAATAGGGCGGCGCTGTGGCTCAGTGGTTACCACTGCTGCCTCACGGCACCAGGGACTGAGGTTCGATTCCAGCCTCCGGCAATATCTGTGTGGAGTTTGCACGTTCTCCCCGTGTCTGCGTGGGTTTCCTCCCACAGTCCAAGGATATGCAGGTTAGGTGAATTGGCTATGCTAAATGCCCATAGGGATGAGTAGATTAGGTGGGTTGTAGGGGGATGAGCCTGGGTGGGATGCTTTGAGGTTCGATGTGGACTTGTTGGGCCGAAGGGCCTGTTTCCACGCTGTAGGGATTTTATGATGATGTAACAAAAAGAACAAAAGCTTTAATGGAGCATAGCCAACTAAATTTAATGGACTAGGTGTTCCCAGTGGCTGCCTTGATCCATCTGCAGATGTGCAGTTGCACCCATGACATCACATCAGTAAGTTTTTTTTTTTACAGTTCCTAAGTCTGCGGAACAGACACTGTGACCAGCTGGGAACTACAGCTCAGCCCTTGAGAATGCATTGGATTAGACAGTGTACTGGCAACAAATTCCCTACTGCAGTGCTACGTTTTGCACATACGCATTTAGTGCTCCATCTTAACAGTGGTGTTGGCATTAAATACAGGTTAAATTATAAAATCATTTCCAGGTTAAGGATGAGCTACAGACCATGTAGCACCCAACAGTTGTGGAAGTCCCTGAGTATACTGGTGGACAAGGCGTTGACTGGAATGTAGCTGCAAAAGAAAGTCAGGCAGTCAGACTCTTCTTTAATACTATTTTGAAAACCTACGAAAAAATTCATTGAATTAACTCATGAACAATCCCTTTTAAAGGAATACTTTACAAAACTGCAGTGGAAGCTTTTCAAATTAATATGACATGTTGATGGTAGGTGATGCATTACCTCCAGTTATTCTAGATGGGCAAGGTATCTCATGTTCTGAAAAAGAGCCATATAGGACTTGAAACAATAACTGCTTCTCTCTCCACTGATACTACCAGACGTACTCAGCTTTCAAGCATTTTCTGTTTTTGTTTAAGGTATCTCAAAAGTTTGAATACCAGGTGAAGCTAGCTGTTTCACATTGCTACTATGCAGTAACAGCACAAATGAAACTCAACACTATCAAAAAGACATCCTGCCTGTCACACAAACTACTGATGTGGTATATGAATTTCTGTTGTTAGTGTGATGCCAGGTATCTAGTGCTTGTATTTCAAAGACTGATCGATCAAATCAAACAACATTTCCTTCCTGCCATTTGCAATAATCAAGATACCGCCAGTACCCAACCAGTGTGGACTTGGACACTGTGCTGGAGTTTTATCAACATTGGATGTAATTCTCCAATTGGGCTGTATAATCTGATTGTGAGGAATTACACTATCAACCAACTTAAGATTGTCAGTTGGGCTCGCATTGTGTGCAGTTGCATCTACTAAATGCTGTATATACTTGTACACACGGCGTAACAAAACCTGGCAGCCAACTATCAGTCAGCTTAGTCAATTAAACAAACTAATGGGGTTAAAGGCAGATAACTTGCCTCGCCCTGACGGCTTGCATCCTAGGATCCTTAAAAAAAAAAAGTAGCTGCAGAGATAGTGGATGCATTGGTTATAATTTTCTAAAAATCTTTGGATTCTGGAGAAGTATCCGAGGATTGGAAAACTGCTAATGTGACCTTCTGATTCAAAAATGGAAGGAGGCAAAAATCATGCAACTACAGACTAATTAGCATGACATCTATTGTTGAAAAAGTATTGGAATCATTTATTAAAAAATTAATAACAGAATAGTTGGAAAATCATAATCTAATCAGCATCAGCATGGCCTCATGAATGGGAAATCACACCTGACTAATTCATTATTTTGAGGAAGTCTCAACCAGAGTGGTACCAGTAGATGTATTAAATTTGTATTTCCAGAAGGCATTCAACAAGGTACAGCTGAAAAATTTAAATCATAGGCTAGGAGCCTGTAGTGTCAGAGGTAGCATATTGGTGTGGGTAGGGAATTGGCTAATGGACAGAAAACAGCAGCTTGGGGTTAAATGGTTCTTTTTCAGGATGGCGACTGCAACCAGTAGGGGGTTCCACAGGAATCAGTGCTGGGACCGCAATGGTTTAGAATATACGTTAATGATTTGGAGGAGGGAAATTACTGTACTGTAGCTAAATTTGCAGAGATGTCACTGAAATGGGTGGAAAGACAGGCTGTGAGAGGGATTCACGAGTTAAGAAATGTTGATATGTTAAATAAGTAGGAGAAGTTGGCAAATGGAGTATGACGTGAGAAAATGTGAAATTGTACATTTTGGAAGTGAGAACAAAAGAACAGAGTATTATTTAAATTCAGAAAAACTGCAGAAAGCTGCAACACAAAACAACTTCGTGCTACATGTGTATTAAACACAAAGTTGGCACACAGGTGCAGCATGTAGTCAGGAGAGCTAATGAAATGTTGACCCTTATTTCAGTGAGATTAAAGGATAAGAGTAGGGAATTCTTGCTGCAACTCTACAAGGTGCTAGTGAGACCACATCTGGAGTGCTAAGAGCAGTTTTGGTCCCCTTATTTAAGGAAAGATATCACTTCATCGGGGAAAGTTCAGATAGGATGATTCCCAGTATGGAGGGATTGCCTTATAAGAAAAGGCTAAACCATTTGGAATTCTACTCATTGGAATTTAGAAGAATGAGAGGTGATTTCATTGAAACATGTAGACTTCTTAAGGGGCTTTACAGGGTTAATGGTGTGAGGATGATTTCCCTCATGGGAGAGTCTCGGACCAGAAGGTAGGGTCTCAGAATAAAGGAGTGCCAATTTAAGAGGTGAGGAGGAATTTGTTCTCTGAGTTGAATCTTTTGTGCCAGGAAAATCATGTCTCTCAAACTTGATTGGTGGTAGAACAGTAGACTTTGTTTATTTGGATTTTAGTAAAGCCTTTGACAAGGTTCTGCAAGGTAGACTAATTAGTAAAGTTGGGTCACGTGGAATTCAGAGTGACAACTGGATACATATTTGGCTTAACGGCCGGAGACGGAGAGATGGCGAAGTGTACTTTTTGGATTGAAGGCCTGTGACCAGCTGTGTTCTGGGTCCTCTTTCGTTTGTCATTTATACAAATGATTTTGATGAGAATATAGAAGGTATGGTTAATAAGTTTGTGGATGATATCAAAATTGGTACTGTAGTAGAACGTGAAGAAAGTTTTCTAAAATTACGGTGGGATCTTGATCAAATGGGTCAATGGGCTGAAAAATGGCAGATGGAGTTCAATTTGGATAAATGCAAGAAATACAATTAATATACAGGACTCATACAATTAAGGGTAGGGCCTGGGTGGTATTGTAGAACAGAGGGACCTGGGTTGCTGGTACATAATTCTTTGATGTTTGTGTCGCATATAGATAGGGTGGTTAAAAAAAGAGTTTGGCATGCTTGCCTTCATTGCTCAGTCCTTTGAGTATAGGCATTGGGAAGTCATGATGAGGTTGTACAGAACATTGGTGAGTCCTATTCTAGAATACTGTGGCCAGTTCTGTGCTCAGTTATAGGAAAGATATTATCAAGCTGGAGAGTGTTCAGAAAGGATTTACCAGGATGTTGCCAGGTATGGAAGGTTTCAGTTAGAACAAAGGCTGGATAGGCTGGGACTTTTTTCTACTGGTGTGCAGGAGGTTGAGAGGCGACCTGATGGAAGGTTATAAAATAATGAGAGGTATAGATAGAGTTAATGGTAGTTGTCTTTTCCTTAAGATGGAGGATTTCAAGACCGGGGGCACATTTTTAAGGTGAGAGAAGAGATATTTAAAAAAGACATGAGGCAAATTTTTTACATAGGGTGGTTCATGTGTGGAATGAACTTCCTGAGGAAATGGTGGATGCATGTACAATTACAATGTTTAAAAGACATTTGGATAAGTACATGATTAGGAAAGGTTTGGAGAGAGATGTGCCAGGAGCAGGCAGGTGGGAATAATTTAGTTTGGAATTATGTTCGGTATGGACTGGTTGGACCGAAGGGTCTGTTTCCGTGTTATATGACTTTGAGTCTATTACTGCTTGCCACAGAGAGCACAGAACTTGCCAATCAATCAGTACTCTCCACTCAGATAGTATGGTTTTCCGTTTCATTGGTTTTCTTGCGAATTATCCTAAGCAGTGAAAACTGAGAAGCTTTAAGCAAATGTCTTTATTTTTTCAGCAAAAAAGTCAATGTATACAATTAACGAGGTGGTTTCCCCTTTGACATCCACGTGTACTTTTTAAAAAATCATGATTTCCCTTCCCAATGGATTCTCAACCTGTAAGTAGCCATTATCTCTTGAGGTTCTAATTCTTCTGCTCTCGCCACCAAAACCTCTCATTTCACCTTTGGCCATGGCTCACGGATCTGACCACAGCACATTTTTCAGGGCCTCTGATGACTTGCGAGCAGGAGTCATTCTTGGCTGAAGTCTTGACTGAAGCCAGCAGGTTTTCTGTATACTGGAATAGATTCTAGAACAGTTATTGAATGCAATGTTAGTATTTCTTGGAATGAATCTCCCCTGCTGCTCCAGAAAGGCCCGAATAGGCTCGCAGTGGGCAAAGTGAATTACTGGGCGGCTGAGCACTCAGCCAAGTCATAGACCTTGCAAGCTTGCTCTAAAGACCACATTTCCCATTTTCTATTGGTTATATGGAAGAAACCTGGAAGGAATGAACCAGTACTGAGGTCTCCTGAGCCACCGCCACCATTTTATATTATCCAGTTTGAACAGCATTAGTGTGGTACAAATGGAGCATCATCCTCTGAAGCAATTGTTCATACACCAAGAATCACATTGCTATGATGGAATTTTGATATATGGGCAAACCAATTTCCGTTGCAAGAAGACTTGGTTTATTTACTCATGTGGAACAATCTCACAGCAAGAATGATTTTAAACAGTCAGCATGACTGAGGCAAATCAAAATTTATCATTCTTCCTGCTCCAAAGAGCATATACTGGGAATCCAATCGATCTGCTGAAGGAATAGCCAAGGAAATGAAGTAAATTAGAGTCATGTAATTTCTCAAAGCAGCTTACATTGCACTTAGTGCAGAATTAATCACTCAGCCCAGCTGGTCTATGCTTCTGTTAAGGCTGCACTCAGGCTCCTCCTACCCCAACGTCGTTTAACCTCATCAGTGTACCCTTCGAAACCTTCTTTCCTCATCACCAAACAAGGCATTTAGCTGAAGGGCAATTAAGTTGAGAAACAAATGGTGTCTTTTCCACCAACATCCACATTCCATGAAAAAATAAAACAAATTACTGAGAATGTCACTAACACTTTGTATTGTCAGTATCACTACTTGATTTTGTTCAGTGCCATCTCTAATTAGGCCAAATCCTTTTCTCTAATGGACATGTGGTGAAAAGATTAATGAACTGTGTATCTCACGCACGCCATTAGCAAGTGATTTTCAAACTTGAGCATTTGCTGATTGTTTTTAAAAGTAAATCAGTTTTTGCTAATTTTGAAGTTTTTTTTGTATGTAAAACTTATGCGCTTTCTTTGAGAGTGGTTTAAATATATCTTGGAGAAAGGCTTCAGGTGGGGAGAGGCTTTTGAGGAAGAGAGGGCTTTAAGTTGAAAGCAGTTCACAGCATGTGCAAGATATTCAGAATACAAGACAGTACAATGGATCAGGAGATATTGGTATTTTGATTTGGCACATTGCTTGTAGTGCCAGTGTCCAAACTTATTTGTATTCTGCTCTGCTATATATACTGGCTAACATAATCTTATATACATATTACTAAATGCACTTGAGGGACATAGGCATTGTTGCCTGGTCCAGCATTTATTGCCCATCCCTACTTGCCATTGAAAAGGTGATGGTGATCTGCCTTCTTGAACTGCTACAGCCAAGTGCTGTAGGTAAACCCACAATGCCATTAGGGAGGGAATACCAGGATTTTGACCCAACTGGTATTCAAAATACAAGTAGGGTACTAACTTTGTCTTCCATTTATATGGAGAAGACATAGACCCATAAATATGCTTAAAATGTTACAGTTTAATAGTTAAATATTTGCAGTAACAGTAAACTTGGTATAATTTTTTTTTGATGTCCAATATAATCATACCATGAAGGAATAAACACATTGCTCACCAAAGAGCAGAGAGGATTTAGGGGGAAACTGGTTTTGTTACAGTAAATATGGGAAAACTGTTTCTTGCCAGTTTTCACCAGTTTTTCTCTATGATTTTGTAACGTTTTGAGTAGATTTCCTAAATTCTGGCATATAGCTTGGGAAAAGAGTTTCTTGTTGATGACAAATGTAGATGGTGGGCTTTATTGTGCAAAGGAGAGACGCAAATACCTTGGTATTGTTAGTTTTATGCACAAGTCCAATTAACTTTTCAACTTTTTTAGAATCCTGATCTTTGCTGTTGAAGATTTTAGTTAACATAATTTTAAGATACATTATTTATGGAGGTTTTTCCCAATTTTACATGATTGGCAACTTGCATTAAGTACACAGATTTCACTCTCACCAAGCACTTAGCATTAGCAGCAATTGTGGGTGACCCTGCTATTTTGCCTTGACCCTTGATTCATTGGAGCCTGAGTGACCACCCGTGTTTAACTTGATTGCATTGGCTTCTGGAAAATTGCATTGAGAGATGGCAAATAAAAAGAAAAGAACTGCAGAAGCCAGAAATCTGAAACGAAAACAGAACACTTACCAAGTCAGTCAGCCTCTGTGGAGAATAAAGGAGTTAATGTTTCAACACTGTAATTACTAGAAATCAGAAATTGCTGAAAATGTATCGCAAGTCTGTCAGCTTCTACAAGAAAAGATATGTTACAATTTAGATATGTTCACTTAAACAGGCCTGCCATATCTTTTGGATGCAAATGGTGAGTGGCCTATGCAATCACACAAATTTCTGTTTTTGTATAGTCAATAGTCCACTCCTGAGATGGCAGAAACTGACCTAAATGAATGTGGTTTACTGTGAAAACTTGAAACTAATAATTCACCATTAGAATGCCTTATTGTGAGGAAGGAAGATGTTCCTTGTACGTTTTCTTCACCGTGCCCGAGGGGTGTGCATCAACTCTTTCTGGCATATTGTGTTCTTATTTTAGCTGAAGAATATTGATTGACTCATCAACCACTGAAATCAAAGACAATGTTCAGTCTAGTTCATAATGGGCATGGCTTTATCTGGAAAAATGTGCCTCAAAGTATGCCTCGCTTTGCATAACCTATCTAGAAAATAAAGTTCCTCAGGCTGGCTTGGTCCATTTAGTTATGCAAGTACCATGTATGATTTTTGTCTTCTATATAAAATTTCCATTCTTATTTTCAAATCCCTGAGTCTGGCTGTGTTTTCAGTTGCCTGGACCCTGAACCCTGGAATTGCCTCCCTAAACCTCTCAGCCTTTCTACTTTGCTTTCCTCTTTTGGTCATCTAACCTAATACTTGTGTGTCTCGGTGTCATATTTTGTTTCATTTCTTCCATGCAGCATCTTGAGATGTTCCTTTACTTTCAAGATGTTTTATAAATGTAAGTTGTTTTGTTGATTTTGAATGAGTTACTAATCACTTACACCACATCACGGTGGAATTTAACCCTCAGTGCTTCTGACAAATAAACAGTTGTGTAGCAGATGGAAACTAGAACATTTACAGAGAATTAGTTCAGAAAAATAAGCACGGTGAGAAATAGAAAAGACATGTATAGGAAGGAGGAAAACTGAATTATAGAGGCAACCCTTTACAGACCAATTAAAACAGGGTTTTTGTGAAAAGTAGCATTAACAGTTCAGGTTATGTTTCACTGATCCTGTAGTTTTTAAGTTGAACTTATTTAACCTTTTGAAGCAACGTTGCTTTTAACAGCTGTGTTTCTGAATTGACAGGAAGGCAGACAGAAGGAAAGAGTTGCATATACATACATGCCTTTTACATCCTGAGGATGTCCCAAAGCATTTCACAGCCAATGAATTAGTTTGAAGTGTAATGACTGTTGTCAAAATAGCACACTTAACTGCATTTTTGGAAAATTAATATGACAGTGTATTTTACAGAGAGTTTTCTTGATCCAATACTGTAATTTCCTGCAAAGTTACAGCAGTACAAGGAACTGCTAGGAAATTGACTTTAATTTTCTGTGGTGTTCTCATTGACAGTTGTTAACTTCTGAGCTAAAATCACGGGTACTCGTTGAGTTGCACAGAATGAACTAAGTTGCAGAGGTCAGTTTAAAATCTGAACTGTCTGTATTTTTGCAAAGTGCAGATAAAATAATTATTTTCAATGGTATTAGACTTCATAGAGCTCTCAGGCTTTGGGAGTGAGATTTATTTCGTAGAAGACTCTTAAACCAACTGCTGTGTTAATGATTGCTACAAAGTAGGTTTTACATAAACAGATCAAGGGCCAATATTAAGGGGCTAATTTTGTTCCCTGAATGAAGAATGGGTAAAAAGAATGTGTTTGTAAAAGTTGCTGGCCTGTATCTTTAGAAAGGCTGAGATGTTTACATCTGGTCAAAAACACATTTTCTTCTTGTTGTTTACAGAAAGATCGGCTGCAAGCCAACAGAGAAAGGCGCAAGGCTGAATGGGAAGCCTTTGTAATTGAACAGCGCCGCAAAAGTGCAGAGGTGGAGGAGGAACATGCGAAAACAGTGGAATGGTTGAAAGAACAATATGTGAGAATGGAAGAGGACCTGGCAAAGTTCAGGACTTTCTGACTTCACTACACAGTTATTGGCCTGTGCCCTTTGCTGACCAAGGCTGTTGAGTGTGATCATGGCAGTCAATATCTTTTAAACCTACCTGTGTGTCAGGGTGTGTAAAGAAATATAACACTTAAAATAATGTCATCCTTCAAATAGTCTGGATTTTGATGTCTGCATTGCCGATTCAAAAACGTTCTTTGATTCTGCCAACAGAAGAGATTATATAGAATTTTCCATCAAGATACATCTGATTTTAAATATTTACAAATTATCTGAGTGAGAAATGATAACATTTCTGTAAAAGCCTTATCACCAACATCCTGAAGGGTTTTGTAATTATTTTTAAAATGCAGTCACTGTTAACATGTACATAGCTTGGGATTAATATTTAATTTCTAATTGCAATAAGATTTTTCAATACTTTAGAGTCTGTTGAATGTCTAAATGTTCTGTTGAATTAAAAATTGAAACTTTACATGATCCTTATTTCCAAGACATGAGAATGTAAGTGAAATAAAGTGCTTACAAAAGGAATTGCCTGTGTGAATTTATGATTTATTGTCAAGCCGCATTCTTGGCAGCGTGATGAAATTGTGATTAAAGTGTTGGAGCAGATGGAATAAATATTTTAGATTAGTTTTGATAACACTGAGCCAAAGCCAAGTTTTTCATCTACCACAGTGTTTTGACAGCCTCATCAATCACCTGCTGGTACCCAGAGTAAAAACACTACCAGCACACAGTCACTTGGAGTGTTAGAAGCCCACTATTATGTAACTTGAGATAAAAGCAAAAGGTTTGGGGTTATTTAACTTTATTGTAGTGTCAATGGGGGGTGGAGGGAAATGAGAATCCTTATTCTCTTGTTGAGCTTAAAGAGCTCCGCTAGAAACTTTAACATCAAGTTTCACTTTCCTATCTATGTCAAAGTACATGACTAAGATAATTAGGTCATGTTTTTATACCAAAAGTTAAAAAAAAATCTGATAACAGCAAGGCTGAAATGCTGAAACCCTGACACTAGGTAAGTTCTTTCAGACTTTCTTTTCAACTTACTCCGTACTTCTAAAATATTATGAAAAATATCTAGTGGTAGCCCTTTTGAGTGTAATTCTTTCAGTCACACACCCATCCAACTGGTTGGGAAGATTCCTGGGGTGATATTTCTTCATTGCTGCAGAGGGATTCAACAAAAGAGAGTTAACATTGTGTTAATTTAATTATTTCCCAAGTGTGAAAATTGAGCTACTGTAACCTAGATGTGGAGATGGCCTTGAATGATTGACAACTCTGACCCAGATGTGATATTTGCATCTGATTGACCAAGTCCAGGATTTTGTGTCCTATCAAAAAGATGTTGACATTGAATCTATAGCTTAGGTGATTTCCAGACATTCCTCACTCAATTGGTTTGTGTCTCTGCTTGTAAAAACTAAGATCCTTTGAAATAACTTTTAAAGGATGTGCTTGAAATGTAAACTCAACGAGAACTGTTATTTTGACTTTTTTTCACTTGTGATGAAGTATCACATGCTCAGAGCAAACCAATGTGTGTTAACCAGCTATTAGAATAAGCTGCTTAATTTGTATTTGAGTTCCTGTGCTTGTAAATAAAATATAAAGTATATAGACATTCACAATGTAACATTCTACTCTGTCAGTGTTTTGTGAAACCTTGAAGCATTTATACGTGTTCAATCATTTTCTCTCACCACAAGGCTTATGCCGTTAGCCCATTTTACACCAAAGTTTTTCTGTATTATGGTTTTTTTTGCTTAAACTAGTATTTCCATTACATGAAAATCAGTGCTGATATTGCCTGGCTTTGTACTTTTTCAAATTGCAGCATCACAACATATCAAAATATTCTGCTTGCTTCAAAAACATGCCCTAGTTGACATGTGATGCAATTGACTTGGATTGATTGGCAGAAGTACTTCTTTGATGTTAAGCTACTTTCCTAATAAGATCTAGTTCCCCAGTAGTAAGTGCAAATTCCTAGAGCAGCATTAAGTTTGATTTCTTTTTCCAGAATAGATCTCTACATTGGTATCATAATATTTATAATACTTTTTGCTTTCAATTATCAATTAACATTTAACACTTTACCTACAAACAAGTTGTATCAGAGTTCTTATTGTGTACATTAATGTAATCTAGTTAATAGCAGCCCACATTGATTTATTTTCATTGGCTACTGAAATTAAAGGACTGCAAGACTTGACTGCTGCTCTTTGGTGAAGGAAAATTCTTTTAGTCTCACTGGACCATAATTATTGTCTCTTGTTAGAGAAAGAGAGACATGACTGTCACCACACCTCAGGCAAGGGAAAAGATTGAGGAGAGTCCCCTTCATGGAAACCCCAGCCAGTGCAGGAATTGAACCCATGCCATTGGTACCACTCTGCTGTCCAGCTAACTGAGCTAACCAAGCCCATTTTTTTTGTAATGTCCCTGCGGCAAACTGTGTTTATTTTCTGTGAGACTGGATTTTATTCAGGGTGGGGTGACCACATCCTACACGTTATTTCAAGTCCATGCATTTTTGAATGCAGTGGAAGATAAGAAAGGAAAGGGGCCTGAGTGGAGAGCAGCTGCAATTTAGGATAGTGAAACATAGAAGCTGACTTGTCTCCAGTTACTGAAGCCGAGGATATCCAGCAGCTTAGATTGTGAACCAAATAAATTGTGCAGCTTTCCATGTAGGGACAGCAGTCTTATAAACCAGTGGTGGATTACATGGACTTATTTTAGAGCTTTACCTATGCCTTGTGTTTTCTCTGGCAGTGTTGTCAGTCACAATTAGTGGTCTGATTAGCAAAATAGCCACTGTATTTGGAACATTACAGCACCGCAGAATTGTTACAGTGCAGGTATCCCATCACCAAGTCACCCTTTATTTACACATTCATATTACATGATGCTGACCCAGCTAGCTCAGAGCCAGCTCTAGAATAAACAGAACCTCTGACAGTCCTGTTTATATCGGTCAGCCAGGGTTCCTTGATTGGACCAGGTTAACAGCCCCAATCAGGGAGCTCGTATTCTATGGACCCACCCTAGCTGACCTTATTCTAATCGTTACAGAGGCCATTCAGCCTATTGTGTCAGCAGCAACAGTCTGAATGAGTAACTCCCCTAATGACATCCCTATACCTTCCCTCAGCTCATTACTGCACTCCCCATCCCCACCCCCCAACAACCCTACTAATAACAGTCTGTAGTTCCATTTTGAATACTCTGAGGCAGTGTGATCCATCCCTTAAACATTCGTTGTGTGAAAAGACGTTTTTTTCCTCGTATTGCTTTTTGCATGAGAGGATATGGAAGTGCGAAAAAACAACATTAGGTAGTTATTAAAGCAAATGGAGCTGCGAGCAATCCCGAGTCTTGAAACATTCGTCCGAATTGGGAAGTATGGGGCAATTGGGTTACATTCCCATCAGGATTTAGCTGTGAGAAAGGTCAGGAAAGATGGAGAAAATCAAAGCAGGTTATCCAGCTGGTCATTGGGATCTGGATATAACTGCATCAGTTGGTGATATCTGTGCAAGTCTGACACCTATGCTTAGTAGGTAAGTATCTGATGTGACCTAAATGATGGGATAAATCATCATTTAGGAAAAAGATAAAAGATTAGAAAGGAATAAAAATTGCCAATAACAGCAATTTTGTACATTCAGTGGAAAATGAAAGAACAACAAATGAGACAAGGATTGGAAGTCATGCGTAATTGACAAAAACTGACAGAGGAAAGAAAGATGCCTAACTTTGATATTAGAATTGTAACAATAAAGGGGACATTAACATTCCTGCTGATATGTTGCAGAACACCTATGCTCGGTTCGCAACAAACAACTGCACCTCCCAGTCGCGATACTGCATCCGCTGTACCCGGTGTGGCTTCCTCTACATCGGGGAAACCAAGCGGAGACTCGGGGACCGCTTTGCAGAACACCTACGCTCGGTTCGCAACAAACAACTGCACCTCCCAGTCGCGAACCATTTCAACTCCCCCTCCCATTCCTCAGACGACATGTCCATCCTGGGCCTCCTGCAGTGCCACAACGATGCCACCCGAAGGTTGCAGGAACAGCAACTCATATTCCGCTTGGGAACCCTGCAGCCCAATGGTATCAATGTGGATTTCACAAGTTTCAAAATCTCCCCTCCCCCCACCGCATCCCAAAACCAGTCCAACTCGTCCCTGCCTCCCTAACCTGTTCTTCCTCCCACCTATCCCCTCCTCCCACCTCAAGCCGCACCTCCATCTCCTACCGACCAACCTCATCCCGCCCCCTTGACCTGTCCGTCCTCCCTGGACTGACCTATCCCCTTCCTAACTCCCTACCTACACTCACCTTTCCTGGCCCCATCCCCGCCTCTTCGACCTGTTTGTTTCCTCTCCACCTATCCTCTCCTCTATCCCTCTTCTATCCGCCTCCCACTCTCTCCCTATTTATTTCAAAACCCCCTTCCCCTCCCCCTTTTCTGATGAAGGGTCTAGGCCCGAAACGTCAGCCTCTCTGCTCCTATGATGCTGCTTGGCCTGCTGTGTTCATCCAGCCCTGCACCTTGTTAGTTAACCCTCCCAGTTTTGCTCCTCTTGCTGCTTTGGAATATGCACAAATGTTAATCAGATAGCATAATAGGGTTCAACTAGAAGTATGGTGGGGTAGGGAATGGCCTAATGGAATTATTGCTGGGCTGTTAATCCAGAAACTCAGGTAATATTCTGGGAACCCAGGTTTGAAGACTACCACAGTAGATGGTGGAATTTGAACTCAATAAATGTCTGGAATTAAGAGTCTATTGATGACCATGAATCAATTGCTGATTGTTGGGAAAAAACTATCTGTTTCATAAATGTCTTTTAGGGAAGAAAACTGCCATCCTTACCTGGTCTGACTGACACAAGATTCTAGACTTACAGCAATGTAGTTGAGTCTTAACTGCTCTCTGGGCAATTAGGGATGGGCAATACATGCTGTCTGAACCAGAGACACACACGTCCCACGAATAAACAAAGAAAAAAGATTGAAGTTTTACTTGTCATTGTTGGACGACAGAAAGATCGAAAGATGTTTTATTATAACTGCAATGTGTCTTTCTTCGGAACTGTTAACCGAGTAAAATCGTGCTCCATAAGGGTATTAGCAAACTCTTACACTGAGCCACCTGAGGAGATGTCAGGACAGGTTACCAAAAACCTGGTCAAAGAAATAGGTAGAGGAATTATCTTAACGAATGAAAGAAGGAGAAAACTCCAGAGTTTATTTATTCAAGAGCTAAAATGGGGATATGAAAGAGCAGAAATGTCAATAAAACAGAAACCATGGAGAGTGGTAAGGCTGGGGTAGTTTCCATGAACAGTCAGGAGCAAGCCCATTGAATGATTTAAAAGCAAGGATGAAATGTTTAAATTATGGTGCTGACAGACTAAGGGCTTATAAACATAGAAAATAAGAGCAGGAGTAGGCCATTCGGCCCTTTGACTGCCTGCTTCACCATTCATTATGATTGTAACTGCTCAT